AACTGTAGGCCAGTGCTCAGCAAGACTATCTTCTTGCAGAATCATTCCCTCAGCATAGCCAGAGAGAATTACCTCTGCCTAACATCTTAGACCATTTACTATAATTAGAAACTTTAAAAAGTGTTAGTCTTTGATTTTTTATTAGGTATAAAAAATGAACAGAAAATAATATATCCCACATCTTCAAGTGTTTGGAATTTGGACCCATAGTATATGTTTCAAAAAATGAACTGTTTCAGAACATTTAATTAGTAGTTGTGTTAATTGTTTAATCTTGAACTGAAAAATATTGACTGTTACCAAATCTTTATTTAACAGCAGGAGACAAACAAGTTTGATTCAAAAGATGCAAACGAGTTGGGAATAAACAATCATGCAGTACCTAAAAACATTCCAAAAGTACCTGAGAATGCTGCAGATAAGAATGAAGAACCCTCAAGCAATCATATTCCACATGGGAAAGGTATTACTATTATTTTGTTTTGTATTAATAGGATATTGACTTTTTGGATATTCTCATTTTGAAGTGAGCATTTTCAGTCATAAAGAATACTGTTTGATTTTAGTTCAGTTATGAGTAGGTGTCAGTGCTGTTTCACATTTGAATATTTTGACAGACAAAAAAAAGAGTAAATTGTTTTAGAGTTATAGCTATGTCCAAAGCAAGTTATAAAGATATGCAGTCAGTGTAGCCTGTTGCTTTAGAAACTGATTATTACATTCCTTCAAATCACTTTGAATTTATATAAGGAAAACTAAAGAATTATATCTTTCATTACTTGGGCAGAACAAATCAAACGAGGTGGTGATGCGGGAATGCCTGGAATAGAAGAGAATGACCTTGCAAAAGTTGAAGATCTTCCTACTGGTAAGTAAAAGTTATCAGACTATTTACCCTACTCTCTTTTTGAGTAAAAATCATAATCACTTGGGAAAAGTTCTAGGTCTCTGGAAGATTGATGTGTCTGTTAATTAACTACCTATTAATTGCCCGGACTTGTTTAGGATGCAGTTGTTTTAAAAAATTTTGCTAAAATGTATAAAGTCCTTGTTTTTGCCTTGATAAGAGTGAACCATATTTGAACATTTTCTTGATTCAAAGTTACTGCTTAGACAGTTAAACTATGTCAGAGCCATCTGTGTTTACTAAAAGTAAGTATACCTCATTTCTATGAGACCAAATGTTCCCAGATTGCTGTGTTGTTGGTGTGCTTTAATAAGGTATGGTGGGGCGCCTGGGTGGCTCAGTCGGTTGGGCGGCCGACTTCAGCTCGGGTCATGATCTCGCGGTCCGTGAGTTCGAGCCCGCGTCGGGCTCTGTGCTGACAGCTCGGAGCCTGGAGCCTGTTTCAGATTCTGTGTCTCCCTCTCTCTGACCCTCCCCTGTTCATGCTCTGTCTCTCTCTGTCTCAAAAATAAATAAACGTTAAAAAAAAAATAATAATAAGGCATGGTAATACCCTTATATAGGTTTTTAGGACTTTGCTTGTCCTTTCAGTTATTTACCCCACAGTTTAAATAGTTTATTCCTGGGGCACCTGGGTGGCTCAGTAGATAAAGCATCTGACTTCAGCTCAGGTCATGATCTCGCGGTTAGTGAGTTTGAGCCCTGGGTCGGGCTGTGTGCTGACAGCTCAGAGCCTGGAGCCTGCTTCAGATTCTGTGTCTTCCCCTCTCTCTGCCCCTCCCCAACTTGCACTCTGTCTCTGTCTCTCAAAAATAAAAACTAGGGGTGCCTAGGTGGCTCAGTCGGTTAAGCATTCAACTTTGGCCCAGGTCACGATCTGGCAGTTTGTGAGTTTGAGCCCCACCTCAGGCTCTGTGCTGACAGCTCTGAGCCTGGAGCCTGCTTTGGATTCTGTGTCTCCTTCTCTCTCTGCCCCTCCCCCACTCTCACTCTGTCTCTCTGTCTCTCTCTCAAAAATAAATAAACTTTAAAAAATTAAAAAAAAATAAATGAATAAATAAATAGTTTCCCTATTTTTTCTTTTTCTTCTTTTTCTGCTGTTCAGTGTTGTTTCTTTCTTCATTAATGTGTCTGCTCCTTATCCATTTCCACTTGAGGTCTGAATCACTCCTGGTATCCTAGTCCTGTTCGGTGTTTGGGTTGTTTTTTTTTTCCATGTCTCTTTGTTTTTCTTGCCATTTCTATGTTTCTTTGTTACCATAGGTACCTCTCCCTGCTGACTCCAATTTATTATGTTGAAAAATTGGAAATAACAGGATGTCGTTGATTTTTCCTGACTGTTTTTATTCCTTTTCAATCTTAGGGTTCCCTTGTGTGGTTATAGCTCACTGTATGTGGCTGAAATTGCTGTGTGTCTGAGGTCCAAATGAAAGACTATTAGTCCTTTCATTTGTATGGTTGTTTTCTAAGATTCTTTTCTGTCCATATTCTTTTGGGTTTCCAATTCACAGTATATGCCCCTAAAATAAAGACAAGGACAAGAGCAATACCAGGAATTTAAAAATACAGAGTCAGGGGCTCCTGGGTAGCTCAGTCGCTTAAGCATCCGACTTTGGTATGGGTTATGATCTCATGGCTTTTGAGTTCGAGCCCTGTGCTAAAAGTGTGGAACCTGCTTGAGATTCTTTCCTCCCTGTCTCTCTGCCCCTTCTCTGCTTGTGCATGTTCTCTCTCTCTCTCTCAAAATAAATAAATAAATATTTTTTAAAAATACAGAGTTAGAATGAGCATGATTTGTTTGTGAAGCAATGAAGTTATCCAGTGATTCTTAAAATGTGGTCCTTGGCAGCAGTATCCTAAGATTACCTTGTTAGAAATGCAGATTCTTGGGTCCCATTTTAGACATACTGAATGAGAAATTCATGGGATGGAGCCTAGCAATCTCTGTGTTTTAACAAGCTTTCCAGGTGAATCTGATCTATGCTAAGGTTTTAGAACCACTGGCTCAACACTAATTTGATGTCGAGAACAAGGACCATGTATTATTCTGAATTTTGTAGTACTTACTCTAGTCTTAGACTCACTAAGTTTTAGCTTGATTAATCTTCTTTACATTGCCCTTAGTTATTCTTTTTTAAATTTTTTTTAAGTGTTCTATTATTTATTCTTGAAAGAGAGAGAGACTGAGTGTGAGCAGGGCAGGTGCATAGAGAGAGGGAAACACACAGTCCACAGCAGGCTCCAGGCTCTGAGCTGTCAGCACAGAGCCTGATGCAGGGATCAAACTCATACGCGGTGAGAGAGATCATGACCCGAGTGAGCCGCCCAGGCGTCCCACCCTTAGTTATTTTTTAAGCTTCTCCCAAAGTTTTGCCAAGGATAAACTGCAGGTTTATAGTATATAGACATACCCAATTCAGATATGTGAGCAAGCATGCATTTATTTTTCATGTCACATATATATACAAAAATATGTTTGTGTTGAAATTTATAAATTTCAACCTCTTTTTGTCTAGTTTTCAAGCTAAAATGTTACCATTGCTATTCTAAGTGTGTAGTGTCTCAATTTATTTTCTCATTGGTCCGCTGTCATAATTTATTACCTGGCCACCAAGGATTCCAGAATTAGAGTAACATGAAAGGGGAATGCAAGAGGTCTTAGAGATCTTATCTAGACCATTTTTAGGTATATTGTCCTTATCAGACAGGTTTTCAGATGTCTTTCACATATGAATTGCTTTAGTAGGGCAAAAATCCTATCTTGCTGCTTCTGCTTGATTAAAAAAAGCACACAGGGGCGCCTGGGTAGCTCAGTCAGTTAAGTGTCTGACTTTGGCCCAGGTCATGATCTCATGGTTCGTGAGTTGACGCCCCGCATCAGGCTCTGTGCTGACAGCTCAGAGCCTGGAGCCTGCTTTGGATTCTGTCTCTCCTCTTTCTCTGCCCCTCCCCTGCTTGCACTCTGTTTTTCTCTCTCTCTAAAAAATAAACATTAAAAAAAATTATTTTTAAAGCACACAACCATTTCATTAGAATGAATAGAGATGAATAATACTTTTGATAAGATGCCAACAAATTCATGTCTGATTTTTACAGTATGAATTAGCCGTATAGATTCATATAATGGTCGTAGCATTAGAGTTTAGAATGGAAAGAACACAAAAAATGTATACATTTTGTGTAAATTATCATTGATACTAAAATTATCTGTATATGTAGACACTGTCTACACTGTCATGGCATTTAGAGGCCTTCCTCTGGATTAATTTTTCTTTATCTTTGATTTTCTGTAGTTTGAAATAATATGCTGTGATGTAGTTTTTTGGGGGCATGTAGTTTGCTTGGTGTTCTCTGAGCTTCCTGGACCTATGATTTGGTGTCTGACATTGATTTGGGGGGATTCTCAGTCATTATTGTTTTAAATATTTCTTCTGATCTTTTCTCTCTTCTCCTTCTAGTATTCCCATTATGCATATGTTTACACTTACATTTGTCTTAGATATTGTTATTTTTTTTTCCATTATTCTCTTTCCTTTTCAGTTTTTGAGGATCTTCTTGATATACCCTGTAACTCAGAGATTCTTTCTTCAGCCGTGTCCAGTCTACAATGAGCCCATCAAAGGCATTCTTCATTTCTGTTATAGTGTTTTTTTATCTATAACATTTCTTTTTGGTTCTTTCTAAGATTTCCATCTCTCTACTTACATTGCCTATTTGTTCTTGCATCCTTTGTACTTTATCCATTAGAGTCTTTAGCACATTAATCATAGTTGTTGGTATGCCTTGTAATTTTTGCTTGATAATCAGACATGATGTACCAGGTAATAGTAACTGCTGTAAGTAAGCCTTTAGTAATGTGGTAGTCCGGTGTGGGCGAAGGGAAAGTGTTCTATAGTCCTGTGATTTCTAATCTTTTACAGTGAGTCTATGCCTCTGGACTATGAACTTCACAAGTTTTTCTCAGTATTCTGCCTTCTCCTGAGGTGGGACAGGAAGGCTGGAGGGGGCTGAAGTTTGGTATTTTTCTTCAGGTCACTTAGGCTCTGATAAAGCCCCAGGAGGTTAGGCTCTATTTAACTAGTTTCTCCCAAGGGCAGGCCTTTTTAAGGAGAACCAAGCGCTCTGGTGTATTTCTAAATGGTTCCTTTTCCCCTCTTCCTGCCTGAGGGAATTTTTCCCCCAATATTTACTATAGGAATGTAGTTGAGCCCCTGAAGGTAAATCTCACAATATTGTAGGGAGCCTCCCTATGACTGGGTCCCCCCGAAATCTTTCTCTCTGAGTTGTTGACACTGAGCCTCCAGTGAGTTGTCCAAACTGAGCATCAGTTACAGTTCAGCTTTTCCTACCCTGGCACTTTCTGCTCCTGAATCTCTTTTGTATGTCATGACTCCCTATATTCACCTTTCTGTGTCTCCGTTCTTAGGGATAGTTGGTTTGCCCTGTGTCCTCTTCTCTCTTACCCAAAAAGAATTGTTGATTTTTCAGCCTATTTATTAGCTTTTCACTTGTTGTTAGGTTAGAGTGGCAACTTCTAAGCTCCTTACATGTATACAGAACCAGAAACCAGAAGTCCTTTGGATTAATTTTTGAACCTCTTTAAACTGTTGGTGCTTTGCTTTGAAGATCATTGTTCATAACAGTTATCCTTAATTATTTAGATAAGTATTTTGAGTATACAGATTATTATGATATAGTAACTGGTGAAAAGAAACCTTGAGGTGTGTAATCAGTCAGATGCCTACACAAAGGAAAGCCCTATCATATCTTTGTACCTTGATCTCCTAGCATGGTGCTTTACACACAGGGTCCCAGTAAATGTGTATGGTTGAATTACCAGAATATCCTTAATGGTGAGGCAATGGTATCTGGAATTAAACTGCCTGAATTCAAACCCTTGACTCCCATCTTTTAACAAGTGTGTGACAACCATTTATTTACTCTTATCCTTATCTATGAAA